CTCCTTTGCCTCTCACATTGCCGGCTTGGGCCCCAGCCTGGTCGCATTGCGTTGGCAAAGCTTTGGTGCTCGCTCCAAACGGCAGTGCAAACGTGCTGAAACTGTCTGGAGGTTCGGAAAACCGGTTTGGCACACACGGTTTCCACCTAGTCCTGACCGACCATGCCTTGCCGGAACTAGACTGTCACATGCAGCAACTTCATGCCCCATGAATGGTTTTCTTGAGATGGTCAGGTACATGTCTATGACTCTCTTTTGTAGATGACCTGCATGAGCCTCATGAGCCTTCCTTCCACTGGACTTTGTATGCCTCTCTCTCAGAAGAATCGAAGGTCTGAGTTCACATGAACGAGTTAGTTCATCAACACGTTCATTCCCCAGGGATAGACTGTAGACACTACTGTAGACTTCTCATACTGTCATACATCTGTATACTGCATTGAATTGTCCTGTTTCTTCCGCATCTTCCGCATGTCCTTTCTTCGTCCATCTCATGCTTCCATGCTTGATCTGCAGCGCTGACCGAGCGGCCCAGTGGGTCTGACCGGGACCTCTTCCGACCCGACCGTCGAACTCCCAGCGGCGTGCCGTGGCCATGGAGTCTGAACCAGTCATACTGTCTGGGTGTCCGATGGACCATCCTGTCTATAGGATGATCCTGTCTAGGTATATCTAGTATACCAGGACCATCCTGTCTGGGTGTCCAATGGACTACCCTTCCCTAACACTATACTCCCAAACAGGATGGTCCAGCCAGGAATACTACAGTATATGATATGTATGAGAATGGCCTCAGTGGTGAGGGTGGCCGAGCACTGGGGGCCTCCACCACCAATTTGGTGATTATTGTGCCATGGTTGCGAGTCGGCATGGCAAGTTCATGCCTTCCAGAAACGTTCCAAAAGCTTGTGAAAGTCTTGGAGACTCATGTTCGAAAGCCATTGACCTCAAAAATGCTTCGAGCTCAGTTTGTGATAGGAATATGTAGGAATACATATATAATATGTCAGAATCTCTTCATTTCAATTCTTGTAGCATGCGGTGACAGTGTCACTGCCATCAGCCCAGCTGACCCGTCTGACTTAGTCTGGTCCACCCTGCAGCTAGGACCCTCCGACGCAAGAGAAGCTCGCAGTGTTCCTGAAGCCCATGGGCAGGGAGCAAGGTCACCTGGCATGAGGCCCGCAACAGGGAACAGCTCAATGAAAGGCTACTGGATGTTTCTTGAAATGGATTTCATTCGGGACGGGCGTTGGCAACAATGGTGTGGCCCGACAAAGCTCGGATAGGCAATAAATATAGGAGCATCCTTGGGATCACATCAGAACGAGACTTCATGAGATTTCTAACGCTCCCCAGCTCCTCTTCATTTCCACATTCCTACCCACTTTGGCTTGCCGCTTCATACAGTCCAGGGGCCCCAACACCGCTCTCTTGTGGCAAAGGTTTGCCACCTGACACTCGGGTGAATCTTTGCTGCAATGCATCAAGTAATGTTCCAGTAAATGGGCAGTGATTAACAAAAACAAACCTCCAACATTACCTCTAACATCGCAGGCGTTCCACAAGCCATGACACCCCTCCATTACAGCTATATACTACTTATACGTCGGTCGGATGATCTACCTCGGGAGGCTTTGCTGTCGAGAACCCGTGCGACTCAGTCGGTCTCTGATGAAGAGTGTTGTGCTTGGCATCCCAGCCATTCAGCACATCCAAGGACAATGGATTGCATAGCCTTGGGGCGAGTTCCAACGCGACGTTCCCGCCCAAAGAAAAGACACGTGTTTGCACAAGACACAAGGCAATCTCTTCTGCTGCCATGTGCTTTTTTGAATGAAAATTGACCTTGATTCTTCTTTTTTGACATCTTTATAGTCTTTTGCAGCTTCAACTGTGTGTATGTGTATCAATGTAATTATTGATTTTGCCAAATGAATTTTGGAGCCTACTCAACTCCAATGTGCTAGAATGGGAACCACAAATACCTTAAACTCTGTGGGTCCGCACATGCCGTTCTTTCAGAAACACTTTCTGTGCAAACTGCTGAGGCTGCCGCCCCGAACGGTCTATAAGGCAGCAAGGACAGGAGACTCTCACCTGTCAGGCTACGGCTAGGCGACTAGCGGGTAAAAACCACAGGATCACATGAAAGGACGTGGGAGTTTCTGCAGGTACAAGTATCTCTTGACATTCCACCATTCACCATTGGCCACTTCACGGTTTTTCACAAACCAAAATGACACGATAGGCCAAGCATGGCGCTTGGAACTAATAGACCCAAACCACATACTAGACGGGACTGTGTTTTGCTACAGTTATGCTCTCTCTGTACGCAAACATAAACCATAATAAAACAATATACAGTAACATATACAGTATTCGTCGCGCACATTCAGCATTGGCGGGTGGCCCATCAAATCATATCGCTGGTCTGACATACAAACGGTGGGTCCTTCCAAAAGAAGGTAGTGACTGTGGCTGTTCCTGGGTCAAAGGAATCGAGTGAATCGATATAGTTGCCAAAATGGGACCTCAAAGGATCCAACATGATCCAGAGTAAGAAACACCTGGCCACAACCTGAAGGGAGGAAAAGGCAGAGGGACCAATTGCCTGGACCTGGCCATCCCTTTCCAATCTTAGCATCCCCACATCAACCGTTTCAAGTCAGCCGCAAAGGGGATTCTGTTCAGTCTGGGACCCATGGGTAGCCGCGGAACCGTCAGACTCGGCCTCCCAGCCCGACCTTGAGCCGCGAGCGGTTTCTTGGAGGCAGGTCACAGTCGAATGGATATCTGTGGCTGTGTTTCATGGTGTCCAAATCTACCGCAACAGGGGCTACCCACTCCATATGTTCTCTTGCTGTTCTGGAAGTCAACTTTGCAAACAAGAAGAGTGGCCAACTGTGAGGCTTATGCCCACCGCACATATTGACACATGGGAAGATCAATGCTTGCTGTCAAAACTGGAAGAGCGGTCAGGACGCAGCACGCATCACCCTTCACAAGGACACTTGCACATGTTCCAACAAGCATAATTACTCATCTCGATGATGCTGAAGCGGCTGAAGATATTTTCACCACCACAAAAGGGGTCCCAAAGGACACCGACTTTTTGGACTCACATGACGCGATCTCTCTTCGCAACTCGACTCGCTCGCGGCGCACAAAAGACTCAAAGAACCCCCGGACAAACATCAACGGACGCAAACCAATGCAAAGGGAGATGTAGGAGATGATATACCATTAAGGACTCACAAACCAAGAGGCTTTATCAAGCAAGCATATCAGCCAAACCATGATGCATATGATTATTTAAACACATCGAAGATCTATAAAATGCCCTAGTACAGTAATCCCATAGACTGAGGAATCACTTTGGTACAGCATTTCCCCACTCTTGAAGATTCATATCATTATTCATTCAAAGCATGGGTCCACAAAGTGCATAGTCCGACACAATATCAAATGCACGGCGATCATCCTTCCGAGCACAATTGGATACATCTGGGGTATGGTCTGTTCAAACGCATCATCAGTTCACCCAATGGGTTTAGCATGGTTTTGCACACCCAAAGTTGGGAGCTGCACCTACTTAACTCGAAAAAGTCACACTCCCTGGCCCAATGGATTTGAGTCATTCACCAGGCTCCCGCACAGCCGCTCCACCGTCGCTCCGGCCGCCGCTCCATCGACACCTGCACCCGCACCGTGGTCTGTGATGTGTTTAGAGCCTAAACAGAGTCACCCGACGTCACAGGTCACCACCTGCCACTTTTTAAGTCTACAAAAGTCACTCAGGTCGGAGACCTGTTGGAAGGTGCTGGTATATTGGGTCTATCCTAATACCTGTAACAGTGGATGATGATGGTCAATGCAGGCCTTAAAATAGTAACAATTGTTTGCTGACTGTTACAGGTAATAGGACAAACCCAATATATATATATAGCTAGATTGATATAATTTTAATTTGCAGTATATAAGTCCACAATGCTTGTTTCTGCCATTCTGTGGCATAAGTTCCTCCAGTGAGCAAAACCGAACATACCAACCTTTGTAGCGTTGTAGCCACTCTGAAGAGTCTGGAGCATCTGGACCCTCGCCTTGCCACAGCTGAATGCTTCGCCCAGCTGCGCCACTCTCATCCGCCTGGACGAAGCAGTCGAGCACTGATTGATTTCTAGGAATTGCTTCTTGGTATTTCTTGGTGGGGCGAACCCAAACTGGACAAAGGAGATGATCATCTTAGCCCATACAGTATCATCTTAGCCCATTTGTTCACCTTATCGAGCAGCTCAGCACGCGGCCCGTAAGCGCGGTCACCATATGAAAAAGCGCTTACGGTGCCGATATATCCAAATGATGGGGAGATGTTCTAGGTATGTTCCATTGCCCGCAGATTCAATTTAACGAATGACAAACGGTGGCCCTGGCACTTTTTTGCGACGAGGCAGATGTCTGGGTATGCCAAGGGTGGCTTGGCTGAAGGGGAATGCGGAATGTGAACCGCACTTCAGGGGCCCCATGAAACAGAACCGTTCTAGGAGCTGCTCTAACTGGGACAGCAACCGTTGACACACCATGCATTAATCAAGCCAATGAGACAAACATCATATTAGAGGCAAGCAAGCACTGGTGCATTAGTCTTTGTAAACAAAGAGCTGTCCCATACATCGGGGGAGAAAAAATGACACTTTAAACATACAAAGTCTACACGCGAAGGAAAAGGCCTCCTTTGGACCCCTTCAGGGACAAAGGAGTTCCTCTGCCTATCTACAGCAAAGTGCTGGGCCAGCTGACGAGAATCTCTCACCAACGGTCAAAACAGTTGGATGCCGCACAAATCGACTTCTATTTGTTGCATTCTTGGTTACTTTCCACGGGTCAAAAAAAACTGACAAAAAGAATGTTGGGCTGGTTGTTCTCTTGATATTATATATATATATATTATACTCTATATATATATATGTGTGTGTGATTATATATGTTCTTTCTAAAATTGTTGTTAGTACAGCAGCTGCCCACCGCACCTTTAATTAGACTTGGGGAAGCACACTCAAGCAACTCAAGCAGTTCAAGGTGAGCTTGCCGCCGGTCTTGCAGAACCTGAGCCACAAGCCATGGTTAGCCGGTTAGCCCAAATGAGCATCAGGGATCCAAGAAAATGAACCGTTCAAATCCAACATTCGATGCAACAGCTTCACGACCATCTCTTCGTCGTTTTCGTGTGGGATTCCGGTCCTGGAAGCTCCAGTGGACACCGACAGACGTCCGGGACGGAGCATGTCCGGGAGGGTCCAATGACATGATCTGACCACTGAGCTCAAGTGACCAGGACTGGAACCCGCATGGGCTTTCAGACCACAACAGGACAGCCGAAGCGTGGAAAGATCCACTCGAAAGTGGACTCAAAAGGATATGATCGCAGTGAGTCCAAGAGTTGGAGGAACAATGTCCCCGGCCCCTGCGAGCTCCACTCAAGCTGAGGAACCATGGCATGTGTCATGTCCCACATCGAAGCTGAGATGGATAGGGTTTAGCAAACTCGTGTGTTAGGATGAGGATCCTATAAGCTACATTGAACTCAGGTCGCCCGAGGCAACCTTTCGTGAATAGCCCATGTGTTCTGGAGTCTCCAGTCTTAGGGGTGGTGAATGACCTTGACTCCAACGGGGAACATAACCTCTTTGCTGAACTTGGCTGTCAAGCATCCAGAAGGAATATAGGAATATAATCTGAAAGCGGCAGGATGACGGCGCCAACCAGCATCCATGGCATCGAAACCAGCACAACGACCTGCAGTTCCCCAACAAGTCGGAGGGTGTCCAATGGTGTCCCACCCGAAAAACGCTCTAAATCAATCCATCTCTTCACCCTTTTGCCTTGCCTTTGACCTGTGCGAAGCCATTGACCTGTGCGCCCGCAACTCGAAACATCCGTCGAACAGCAGCTGCGGCCTCCATCTAATGGCACTTGATGAACTCCAAATCGCCAGAGAGCTCTGAGACGGTCGAAGTCTCTGAGACGTAGGTGGTATTCCTTCGTCGGACCAGTGGCTCAACCCCCCAAAACACCTTGTGACCCGGTAACCTCTGAAACTGTGGGCTGTATATCAAACATGGATATCATACATGACCGTGTCTGGGAGTTCGAAGTTCTAAACGCTTGTGCTAAGCTGGATCCAGGATGCTGCATGTTCTGCACCCAGGTCCACGCATTGAGTTTTCGCCTCGGACGGGTGCGTGGTGAGACCGAAACTTGGACTCGATCGAAGCAACTCTCACATCGGATTCGATCCTCATGGATATCTATAAGGCTTCTCTTGAGGGTCTCAAGGGTTTGTGGATGTTTCAGGAGCTTCCACCAGAAAAGAAACATAGAAAAGCTTTGAATATAAGGGCCGTTCACTGCTTCAAGTGCTCCATCCGGCTGCCTGGCACCCCTCTGCCCAAGGCCCCTCCACCAGAAACAGCGTTGAAGAGTCGAAAGAGCCCTGAGGTGCGAACCTCTTCTTGCTCCGGAGGACTCCTTGGATTGGCTGGACTCCTCCCAGCCAAGGAGTTCCTAATATGTCTGAAGGGGGCATCTTCGGTGCCAGGGATGCAAGTGAAAGAAGGAAACCATCATCAGCCTATTAACACTTAATATGATTATGCGGATTAACTAAGTAAACCTTCGCAACCAAGGCTCCAAAGCTCTACTTGAGAATGAAACGTCACATTCTTCTTGCGGCCTTTCTGGTTGTGCACGGAGACTGGGACAAATCGGATGCCAGGAGTGTCTGGCAAAGGATCGGGATACTCAAACAAAATCTCCTCCGGCTTGGAAGTGCTCTGGACATTTTGCACCAATCCGCCAAACTCTGCGAGTTTTGACTCGGACTCCTTGCTTTTGGGCGGGAGGCTGTGGCATGCGTTGGCATTCGGCACCAGCTCAGGCTTCTTGGGACTGTGGCACATCAAGCAAATGTGTGACATTTGGCCTGCCATCACCAAGCGCGCGAGCGACTGCGCTTACAGCCCCGAGGACACATACCTTGATCCGAAATGCGGCGAGTGATGCACACTTCTTCAACATAACTGTAAATTCACTGGATCCCAAAAGGAAGAAGGAAGGTGGCTTGTCTGAGTGCTGTTTGCATTCCGCAAACGCCCTCGTAAATCACTGGATCCCAACATCCAATGGATACGAACCTGCGGAGCAACACCGGTGTTGCTCCGCTCAACGTCAAGTCTTGGCGCCGAAATAACGAAGAGCCCGATGCTGGCGGAGCGGCGCCTCCAAAAGCACCAGGTCCGACCAGGGGCCCTGGTCCAACCTCGGTCCAAGAAACGCCAGCGTGCCTGGCATGCCTTTCCAAAGAATCCGCATGGTTTCAGGTTTTGCATGACATGCACAGGTTACCTTGTATGATGTGCATGTCACTGCATGTCTTTGATGTGGTTTGCGTTGTTTTCGTTTCGCGCACACACACACACACACATACAGGTTCCTCGCAATGACATTATAAACACACACACACACACACACGGGCATGCACGCGCACACGCGTACACCCACACACACATACTTGTTGGAAAATGGGGGGGTGGGGGTAATGCCCCATGGTTTTCAAGCATCATGATTGTGGGCTTCAACCATCATTTCTGGACGGGGGCAGTGAGGCTTTACAGCAACGTAAGTGTTTGGTTTTGAAAGAGTTTCTAGCGCCAATGTCCGGGATGACAAAAAGAGAGGATGGCCACGCGCTGCCAATCGCTTTGCTTCAGCAAAAGCGCTTTCAGTGGATGTGGAGACAAAGCCTGTTTGCCAAAACACATTTTTGACGAACTACGACGACTCCTCAAGGCTCAAGGCATGAAACATGTCGGTTGTGAAGTGCTAGTGTTCAAGCCTAATTCGAATGAGTTTTGGACACGTTTTCCTTCTCCCCAGTCAGAGGCCGTTTTAAAAAACACTTCTCAAACATGATTTCTCCACAAGCTGGCCCTGCGAATGCTGCAGGGTTTAGGGAATCATCGCATGAGCACCAGGGTACACCGCGGCCATGGTTTTGGCACGTGTGCCAAAACCTCGTTTCGTTGACCTGGGATAGCGAAGCTCACGCCCGTCCTCCCCGTCCTGGGGACAGTGGCCGAAGCCTCAACTGGAGCCCTGCCTCGTCGACCCCCACAGCGCAGGCAGAAGTGCATCTATTTGTTGACATCAGATTATATATACATTATATGTTTGGTCAATTTGTCAATCTACGTGTCTAAATGAAGGTCATTGTTCAAGTCCATGACTCCATGACCTTCAACTCCATGACCTTCAGGAACAGCCCTTTCGCTTGTCATGTCAAGAGAGACTCTTGGCTTTACATCATGGGGAAACTCGCATCCAGCAGGCCTGCGTGGTTACTCCTTTTGGGGGAACCTTTTTATTTCATCTTGAGGCTCTGTGATCAATATTCTCCGTCCAGTTTACACTCTCCAAAGTAAGATAGTTTCCCTGGAGGAGAATCTCTTTTCTTACGCCTTACGCTCTCGAAGAGGCGGAAGAAAGAATGTCTAAATGACATTCAATGACCCGGTCACCGTACTTTCCAAGCCGGTTCCCACGTGGGGTGACGCCAGGCCTCCAATAGCTCCCAAGAATAGACCCCGAGTCGCCTGCAGCTTGGTCTCACACGGTCCAAGCGCACCGAATGGACCCAGTTCGCTGACCGAATGGAGTACGAGAGTGCTGGCTGATGTCGGTGCTCTCTATGGTGTTTTGTTTCTTGTTTTTTTTTGGGGGGGTGCCGCTGGGCAAACCTAGCTCCTTTGTGCTCCTTGGTTCGTTTCTGAATGATCTAGATGTTACAATCAAATGTACATCTGTCCATGATGCATCCCCACCTGCCGGGGACACTTCTGCCCATCTGATTCTTCCACCCACACGGTCACACCATGTCACACCCCGCAACGCTGCGCGGTCAGAGCCACCCATTTGGGAAATCCACAGGGCCGTCCGTCACGTCCGTCCACCTGGAGAACTTCTGAAGGGCCACTTCATGCCACTCGGCCTGGAGGGGAGGTTCCCACGTGCAGGTTGCTAGGCAAAACGTGCGCGGTGCACGCGGTATTTCGGGCCACGTCCAAACCTATGGCCATCTATGTTGACCAATGATGTTTAGCCATCTATGGCCACAAACCAATTTCTGACCACATGTCCTGCGAGTATTCCAACGTGTGTGCCACGACCCAAATAGCCATTGACTTGTGGATACTTGTGGCTGCAAATAGAAAAAAAACACTGCTGGGTTTCTACACAGGAGGTGGGTTCGTACGGTCGCAAGTTCGGGCACTGAACGGTTGCCAGTTGAGGGGTGAGGGTGATTATGGCTTGGTTATAGGGTGCGGCCAAGTTAAGTTGTAGGGATTAAAACAAAACTTCCAAACGTCTCTGCCAAGTGGTCGACCGTGTTGTGTAGCCGAATGCCAAATGCTGAGGAGAAAGCAGCATCACTTTGGCAGGCAAAGCGAATGCTGAGCATTCCTGCGAACGTTTTTGCCCGTCTGCTCTGCACTGGCGGCACTCAAACAAAAAAAGAAACAATCGCTGGACTCCCTGCATCCGTCGCACTTCAACCCAAACAAAAAATGCAATGAAACTCTGCAACACGAACAAAATCTCTGCGACTTGGGGGGTGGATGATATCTGTCCCTTCTAGAGGAGCGACCAAAACTACTGCTAAATGGCGTCAATGCATTCAAGGACCGGTTCGTCATGTATGGCGCAAACAGTTTCAGACCTACAACAAACCAAAAATCACTCCGATGTTGCCTATCTCAAGCATGTGCATGAACATGAGCGCCAGGAAGCCCACAAGCACAGTGCAAGCGACAGTTGAAAAGAACATGAATCTTGTCCGGTACACCACACAATCTTTAAATCCGGTCTGAACTCTGAAGAGCCGTGATGTGATGGCCAACCCGGCTTGCACCTTATTGGCTTGCTTACTCACCAGTCGGCCTCCCACGACCGGTCCTACAGGCAAATCATTGATGAACACCTCAGCTTCGGTCGAAAAAGACCTTGCGTGCAGTCGCGCACGCTAAGGAACCGTCGCCTTGAAAGCCAAAACCCCCGAGCCGATTGATTCATGTAGATCTAGATCTAGACTCTTGATTGATCAAAACCCCCCGCCCCGATCTGAAGGGGCTCACAGGTTCACAATCCAAATGTTGATTTGAGTTGATCAAACGTTGACATTAAGATACATTAAGATAGATCCATGAATCTCAGTAAGATGATGGCTTTGATCTCCAATCTCTGACATCCATACGTCCCACCAGACGGCTGTTTCCAGTTGGCTTCGTCCATCAGTGACGCGGCACCAAGGGTGGACGAAAGCACACTGTGGAGGCCTCAGGAAGTGCTGAAAAACTGTGTCTTTTAACTGAAAAATCCACCACCACACACAAATCTTTCATACCAAAGTGGCGTGTGATGGGGGGTTGGGGGTGTGCACTGATCTGTCAACTCTCTTATTTTATAGTTGCACAATTACACACCGTCAATCTCTAGAACAAAATGGCTCGCTATCCATTCAAACAACTTATATGTCAACTGTACTTTTCAAGGACCATGTGACCATCTCTTATGCGTACAGCATCCTTGCAAAGCAGAACTGTGATGCAGTTGGGCAATCACCTAAACTATGCAACAACTCTGATAAAACATATCGTTTGGCGGGTTAAAGTGGTTTTGTGAGCATTCAGTGAACCAGTGAAACATGTTGTTCTTTTTCCAGCCCATCCTGGAGCACATTGGATCCAAACACTTGTACGAAACTGGTCATGCGATGTCATGATGTCATGCATACAGAACACATTTATACGTATACACATATGTCCAGGAGTCCAGATAATTATGTAAAAAGTATTGTATCTCTTTGCCACTGTCTCAAAACAAATTAGAATAGCATAGCCGACCTGGAATCAAACAATGACATAAAGCTTTTGGGCTCTTCGAACAGTTTCAATCCCATGGTATTCCCTTCACCAGGCCTGGGATATCATCGGCCTCAAAGGCCGACAATGATCCGACGATGATGCGAAGATGTCGAAGGGGTTGGGTCGGATTTTTGAAGGGTGCAGAAGAGAAGGTTTTTTAACTCCGGAGTGAGTAGGTCAGTAGCTTCCTTCTGTTGGGTCAAAAATGATGATGGTCACAAGCGCAAGGATGTGCAATGAAAGGCATCTGCGTTTGTGCCCTTCGTGTATTTTCTTCTGTCGACACGAAGCCACCGAGTGCCCAACTCCACTGCCACATGTAGGCCTGTCCAAAACACGATCCTTCCTCCAGGTCAACCCGACATCGGATGGAGGGGAAACCCAACCACTGAACTGTTGGATATCCCTGGTTTCCCAGCCATCGAATCTTTTTGCAGGTTGTTGCGAGCGGTTCCAAACTGCACAGGCTGTAGGACCGTCTTCCGCCCGTAAAACTCTATTTGCTAAGTTTAAGTTCAACCTATCTATCTCCAATGGTCTCCCTGAGCTCGATGAGCAACTTTTTGATTTGGGAGGTGGAAACTTGCTTGTGCGGATGTGGCCCTGTGGATGGAATGGAATGACTGCTGATATATGAACATATATATGTATATATTTGGTACCCCCCAAACCCACCCTTTCATCAAATCTACTGGTATTTACAGTGTTTTATGTGCATTTTTTTGATATAAACAATCAATTTAAAAACAAGGCACGTTACAATTCAAAAACAAACACAAATAAAATAAAACAACATATATCCCCAATGACAACCAGCAACAAAATAACAAACCAAAACAATCAAAAAACATTGAAGAGAATGTTTGGCTCAGCCTCAAAAAAATGTTGTTTGTTTTCATTGTGCTCTTTTTTGTTTTAAAAAAACACATTGTGCCTTTTGTTTTTCACGGTTTATGGTTAAAGAAGACAATCCAACAAAAACCAGGATTTTTGGTGTTTGATGATTTGCTATGAGTAAAACTAAACGTAAAATATAGAAGCAAAAATCAAAATTACCTTCGGTTTTTTGGTTGTTGGCAGTATTCTAGTACAATAAACCATAAACCTTCAAAAAACAAAAACCATGTTTTGGCTT